TAAAATTACTATTTATCGTTTTAACTTGTAAATAGAAATAAATGGATATTTTTCTTTAGAAACTTTTTTATATTTTTCTTTTATAAATAAATATATTTATCATTACTATTTACCGTTTTATAAAAATATATATTTTTCTTTAGAATTCAACATATATATATTTTTAGAAACTTTTATATATATTTTTTATATATAGAAATAAATGGATGAATCAAAATCGATATTCAGTTGAAGTAATTTTTAAATATTTTTACATTAAATCTATTTTTAAACGTCTGTTTACTTTTTTAGGAAAGAATCTTTGTTGATTAATTCAAATTAATAACAATTTAGATTCCGGAGATTCCAATGTAGAAAAGTCAAAGATTCAAAGAACAAGTCCAGGTCCTCATGTTGTATCCGATTCATCATCCACTCATCCTTCATATCTCTTCTTCCACCGTCTCGCCAGAAAGTGAAACAAATCCTTTTAATGTAGAGAAATAAAAATCAATTTAAAATAATATTGATCATATTATATTAATTAAAAAGTTATCCGATGACTCATCCTATGGTCAGGACCTTGCTGTCTCTGACGTCCTTAATTATTTGTTAAAAAAAAAAAAAATTGGTGCTCTCAGAAAGTTGCGGCGCAAATTTTTTTGTGAACCTGAATAAAATAACTTAGCCTCTTGACTAGTTGTATTCTACTTAATATTGAATTCGTTCCTATTTTTTACTCTTGTGAATGTATGATGTCAATTAAGACTTAAGTAGAAAACGTTCTAGTATAACCAGATTCCATTTGAACCTCACCGTGACTGAAAAAAGAGTTACTTTTAAAGGTTCAATTCTCTTGTAAAGATTACCCATTACACGATACCAAACGGATTTAGAATCACAATACCATATAAATGTGGTATCTTAAGATTCTCCCTAGCTAGTATTTTTGAACTGGAACGAAAGTAAAATCTTCAAATTTGTCGTAAGAAAAAAACTTACGAACTTTTACTTTCTTTATAAAGATTCCATAGCAATTTTAGTGTCAGTTAGTTTTTTTTAAAGATTATTTGATCACAATCCGATTAGGAATGGTACACATTGGCATCTATATATATCGAACACGTAAAACGTGTATGTATGTGTATATGGTTTTATGCTCTTCTATAAATATATATGTGGCATTAACATAAAATGTAGAGAAAAAAAAAAAGGAAGAGACGGTGGGGAATAAAGAGCGATAAAACCGAAAAGCCTTAAGAAACATCAAAAGAGAGAAATAATATTTTCTTTTGTTTTTGTTGTTTCAAAAAGCAAATCTTTGAATTTTATGGCAACCCGTCTCCTCCGAACAAACTTCATCCGGCGTCCTTACCGTTTCTCCGCCTTAAACCCGGTGGGTCCCCCCACCGTCACGGCCTCAACCGCCGTCGTCCCGGAGATTCTTTCCTTCGGACAACAAGAAGAACCGCCTCTACACCACCCGAAGCCCAACGAAGCTAACCATGGCCTCGATCTCTCCGATCAAGCCCGTCTCTTCGCTTCCGTACCCACCTCCGACCTCCTCCGCTCCACCGCCGTTATGCATGCGGCGGCGATAGGTCCGATGGTGGATCTGGGATCGTGGGTCATGAGGTCTAAACTCATGGAAACCGCCGTAACACGTGGCGTGGTCCTTGGACTTGTGAAAGGTACCTTTTATGACCATTTTTGCGCCGGTGAAGATGCCGACGCTGCCGCCGAGCGCGTGAAGAGCGTCTACGAGGCTACTGGTCTGAAAGGGATGCTTGTGTACGGCGTCGAACACGCCGACGACGCTGCCTGTTGCGATGATAACATGCACCAATTCCTTCGAACCATCGAAGCTGCTAAGTCCTTACCAACATCTCACGTAAGCTTTCTAAAATCCAAATTCCTCATTTGTCTTTTTTTTGTTTTTTTTTATATTTCTCTGTTTAATTTCAGAGTTTGTGTGTTTCTCTTCTTTGCTCTGTTTTGCCTTCTTTCCCAATATTAAAAAAAAAAATCATATCAGAACCGTAAAAAGGAAAATCAGTAATTAATGATTTCATAACTATTTTCTTAAAAAAAAAAAATTTATTAATGGAGACGTAATTATCGAATTTGGGCAACTTGGTTCAGCAGCCAAATCTCCGTACCCTGACTATAAGTACACTTGCATAGATACATTGAAATGAAATCGATCCTTTAATATCGGAATTTAAAAAAAAAAAATGATTTAATTCCTCTTACGCGTTTTTTATAAGTAACAAGACAAAACCCAACTTGCGTACCAAATTATTCAATGCGGTGAAAAAAATCAAAGCAATACGTCATTGTCGGGTTAGATTTATACGCACGAGGTCCTAGTTGGAAGTCTGACTAGAACTTTCGGAATCAATTTAGTTGATTACACTTTAGGAATATTCTCCGTTTACCAAAAACCCGGTTTGTTCTGGTTTATCTTTTGTCTTTGGTTTGATTCTGACCCGTTATTGTTTCTCTGTCCTGAACAGTTTAGCTCAGTTGTCGTGAAGATAACGGCGATTTGTCCGATTAGTCTTCTGAAACGAGTGAGCGATCTGCTTAGGTGGGAATACAAGAGTCCGAATTTCAAACTCTCGTGGAAGCTCAAATCGTTTCCAGTTTTCTCCGATTCGAGTCCTCTCTACCACACTAACACAGAACCCGAACCGTTAACAGCTGAAGAAGAGCGTGAGCTCGAAGCAGCCCACGGAAGGATCCAAGACATTTGTCGGAAATGCCAAGAGTCCAATGTACCTTTGCTGATTGACGCGGAAGACACAATCCTTCAACCCGCTATTGATTACATGGCTTATTCGTCGGCAATCTTGTTCAATGCGGACAAAGACCGACCAATTGTTTACAACACGATTCAGGCCTACTTGAGAGACGCGGGTGAGAGATTGCATTTGGCGGTACGCGAAGCTGAGAAAGAGAATGTTCCTATGGGATTTAAGTTGGTGAGAGGTGCGTATATGTCTAGCGAAGCTAGATTGGCAGATTCATTGGGTTGCAAGTCACCGGTCCACGACACTATTCAAAACACGCACGCTTGCTACAACAACTGCATGACCTTCCTCATGGAGAAAGCCTCAAACGGATCGGGGTTCGGCGTCGTTCTTGCAACACATAACGCTGATTCGGGTCAGCCATTGAATATCATTGTAAACGCGTGTTTTATATAGGCCTTTTTTTTTAGTGAAATGGATTGCTGATTGAAGAAATGCTTTTATTTCAGGGAGACTTGCTTCAAAGAAGGCGAGTGAGCTCGGGATCGATAAAGAGAACGGGAAAATAGAGTTTGCTCAGCTATATGGTATGTCAGATCCGTTGTCCTTCGGATTAAAGAGAGCCGGGTTCAATGTTAGCAAGTACATGCCGTTTGGACCTGTTGAAACTGCTATACCATATCTTCTCCGACGTGCTTATGAGAACCGGGGAATGATGGCCACTGGAGCCAATGACCGTCAACTCATGAGGTATTAAACTACCCCTATGAGTTTTTCCTTTTTTATCATATAGTCCGGTCAACATTGATTTTGGATTTAGTTGAACAATGTTGGTATTGGTTATTGCAGGATGGAACTTAAGAGGAGATTAATCGCCGGAATTGCGTGAAGAGAGGAGTTTTATTGTCCTTATCTATGGAGCCATTACTTGAAATTGGGAAATGTAGATCAATAAATTTGTTCTATGTTGTAGATTAAGAAATTTATAAGCAAAAAAAAACAAAATTATAATATAAGAAATGGAGTAGGTATAAACCTTTCATGTGGCTTTATCGTAACGGACTATATGTTCACCAATGTATATTCATCCTTCCTTATCAATAAATAATGCAATTACCTTATTTATGAAGTTTGATTTGGTCATTTTCTTTTGCCGTGACAAATTAATGTCTTAATAAATGAAAGTTCAATAGATTTCTCTAGACTACGCTACGTCCTTGTAGCTGGGTTACATAGAAAGTCTAGTCTGACTGAAGTCCGCTTTCTGCGTTGAAATTGGACTCGTAAACATTTGGAAACTAGCCGAGAAGGGCAGTGGGAGTGTGAGTCATAAATTTCTCAGGGTTTCTTTACCTAAAACCCTAGTATTGGTCTTTG